AGCTCTGGCCCTGGCTCTGGGGAGGCTGTTTGCATTTTTCTTGGGAGGGGAGGGCGAGCAGCCTCTTTCTTGTTGAAGAGCTTGGTGGTTTCAGTGAACTGTTGGTTCATGTTCTTTGCCCATTTGTCTTTCGGGATGTTGATTTTTTTAATAGTGACATGTGCCTTTTTATATAATAAGAAAGCTCTTTGGGAAAGAGTTGTAAATGTTATTTTGGTTTGTCATTTGCTTGTTTTTTAAACGTTTTTTGGCCATGCAGAGACTTTGGGTGTTGTTATTATACTGATGTTTTTTATTCTTGTGATTTTATTGCGTTTAGATTTTAGGGCATTTCTCCACCTTAACACTCCAAGGTTATTAGTAGGTTTTTTAATATCGTTTTTCTGGTTCTTCCATGTTTTCATTTTTGTTTGCTTAGGTAGACTGTGCTTCTTCTCAGAGGGATCTTTCCAGAGGCCGCCCAGTTGCCCTTTCCCTGCTGCCTCACAGTGCTCCTCCCGCCAGAGCCTCCGTTCTGCACCCCGCATCCCCACCTTTATGCTCTCGTACCTGATGATGACCTCATGTCATCTTTTTCAAAAGGCTGACTCTCACTTGTGTATTTTTTTCATATTCTTTATTCCTCAGTAGTAAGTGTATTTCCAAGTTTTAGGTTGACACAGAATTGGTCTGTTGTCCCTGGGATGAGTGTGGCCGAGAGCATGGGTGCCTCCGTGTAGATGTTCTGTTGTGTTTCTGGAGCGCCTTGAAGCTGCTCTGTGCATCTTCTGTGCTTGGAACAAATCTGTTCCTGCCTGCGGTGATCTTCCGTGGCTGTCCGTCCGCGTCCTCGCTGGCTCCGCTGGCCTGTGTGAGGACGCGCGGTTTCCGCGTGACTTGTACACAGACACACATGCGTCCTTCTCTCGTAGAGATTCGGGGCTGCTGGGCCCCCCGCATGGCGGGCACGTCACCGACACACACAGCCCCCCTTGGTCCTTCTCACCGCGCCTCTCCCGCTCTCCCCACGCACGGACCCTACCAGGCACCTTGCTCGGCAGCGGGGCGGGTGGTGGAGGGCAGGGAGTCCGCGGCTGGGCCCTGTCGGTATCGGGTACTTGGTGACCTCTCTGTGCTCCAGGGTCCCATCTGTGTGGGTGCATTTAGATTTTATGGCATTTCTCCACATTCTCCCATCCCTTGCCGGGTTCTTGTGCCCACACAGGAGCTCGTACTCGAGAGGCAGTTAACCAGTGGCCTGGCACACGAGTGTTCAGTAACTATTCACTAAGTGCAATATTGTGGTTTATATGAGACACCTATGTGGTCAGTCAGATGACCGAAAGAGATTTCTCCTTCCTATTTGGTTTTTGTCTTTGGCTTCTGGCTCTCACCTTCAAATACTCCTGATAACTACAGTAAAGGTGTTAGGTTAACGAAGGTGACCTTCGGACCTGCCCAGAGGCAGGGCCTGGCTGCCAGGGGGGCCAACCAGTTAACTGGGGTGTTGGAAGCCTGGTCCCATCCCCACCCCACCCCTTCCCTTGGCCTCCGGGGGCGGGGAGGGAGCGGCTGGAGGTTGAAGCAGCCAAAGGCCAGTGATGCAGTCAGTCCTGACTCTGTGGTGAAGTCTCCCTAGAACCCCACCGGACTGGGCGAGGAGAGCCTGCTGGTCGGCGCACGGGGGGAGCTGCGGGAGGAGCGGTGCGCCGCGGATGGGCAGGGCAGCTCGGCGCCCCCCCCCCTGCCCCCGCCCGTGCCTCTCCGCTCTGGCTGGGATTGCCGTTCCGGGTCACACCCTTAGACCCGGCGGACACAGGAAGTGGTTCCCTGCCGTGGGTTCTGTGAGCCTCTAGCACGTGAGGAGCGCGTGTTGGAGCCTGCAGTGTGCAGCCCTTTGGTCAGAAGCCCTGGTGACACCGAGACGTGGTGGGCCCCTGGCGTGGGGTGGGGCGGCCTCGCACTGCTGGTGTTCTGGGGGCCCACTCCCCCCCCCCCGCCATGTTGGGATTGGGGGCGGGGACTCTTCTAAAAAATGGAGGCCTTACTTCCCGTTAGGCTAACAACGGAGGGGTATTTTATTCTGCCGAGGGCGTCTCTCTTCTGGAGAGCTGGTTTCTCGCACGTGGCCGGGAGGAACGGTGCCCTTGCGGTGGCGCCGCTGTCCTGGTGGTGTCGGGCACGGCCCGCTGAGGGGTGTCGCCGTGTGCAGGAAGAAGCCCTTTGCGGCCGGTATCCGCGCCACGCTGCGTGTGATGCATCTCCCTGTCGTTCCGTTGTCCCTGACCAGGTGGGCTGGATGACACGCTGCACACCATCATTGATTATGCCTGTGAGCAGAACATTCCCTTCGTGTTCGCGCTCAACCGCAAAGCTCTGGGGCGCAGTTTGAACAAGGCCGTTCCCGTCAGCGTGGTGGGCATCTTCAGCTACGACGGGGCCCAGGTGAGCTGGGGGGGTCGGGGGTGGGAGACCCGGGCTCACGTGCAGCGTCCCCACAGGCAGCCCCGAGCCTGGGGCAGGACGGCACATCCCCTGGGGTCGGGGTCTCACCCGTGCCCTCCCTTCTGCCCCAGGACCAGTTCCACAGGATGGTCGAGCTGACGATGGCCGCCCGGCAGGCGTACAAGACCATGCTGGAGAACGTGCGCCGAGAGCTGGCCGGGGAGCCTGGACCCCCGGCTCCGGCCAGCCCGCCCGTGCAGGGCCCCGGCGGCTCGGCGCAGGACGGCCCCCCTGCCTCCGTGCCTGGGAAAGAAGAGCCGCACTACAGTGAGTGCTGGGGAGGGCTGAGCGTCCTCAAGCCCCGGGTCGACTGACGGGAGGAGCAGAGTGCCCGGACAGCGGCAGGGCTTCTGGGCGGCAGAAGGCCGGCTTGGTCCTGGCTGTCGTCTTTGGGCGGGGCTCAGACGTCGGGTGGCACCTGCAGAGTGCGGCCTTGAGCCCCGCGGTGTCCCTGGTGGAAGGTTAAGGCCAGCAGGTGAGCCGCGGGCTCACAGATACTAACAGCAGGGCGGCTGTGGGGGGGGGGGTTCCTTGCCAGGCCCGTGTAGGGCAGCGTGCTCCCCAGTCAAGGCTGCCCCGACTGTCCCTGCGTGTCCCTCAGCTGTGCCACGTTGTCGTTTTTAGTTGAAATCTGGAGAAGACACCTGGAAGTGTACAGTCGCTGTGCTCTGGAGCTGGAAGACTCGCTGGAGGCTTCAACCTCTCAGATGATGAACCTGAATTTATAGAAGAGTTCTTTGTGTGTGTTGTGTGGGGGTAAGGAAGGGGCACTTGAGAGACTTTGGGGCCTTCCTCTTCTCAGGTCTCCGTTGACCTGCTGTGTTCTGTGTGGCTGTTGAGTTGGGAGGTGAAGCCAGGATGCATGTCCTGGGAAGGGGCCCTTGGGTATGCTGGCAGGAGACTCGCCCAAGAGCATGGAGATGCAGCCTTGGATCTGAGCACACGGAGTCTGGGAAAGCCCGGGATGTGTGTCGCCCCCTGAGTTCTCTGCTGTGAAGGAAACCCCACTCTGATGCAGAAGAACTGAGCCGTGTTAGTGTGTGGAAGGCGCGGGGGTTGGGGGAGGGCGTTCTCCAGACTTGGCTTTTTGGCTGCAAGATTTGGGAATACTTGGAAGGTCTGCTGAAATGAGCCTCAGAAGGAAAATCGATTCTCTAACCTGTGACCTTTTGACATGAATTAATTCATTTTTGTCTTCATTTTTCAAAGAAGCCATGTATATTGAAGTTCTTAAATTTCAGTTTTGATAATCTGCAAATGTTTTCTTTCGTAAATGAACGTGTTCTGAATGTGGTTTCTGTCTTGGAGGCCGGCAGGATAGAGGTTTGCTTTCGTACTTGGCTGTAAGGAAGAGGGCTTATTTATTTTGAATAAAGAGCGATGACTTGATCACCCCGCCGTCTGGGGCTTCTCGGGGTTCCCAAGTCCCAGTGCGGCCCCTCAGGTGCCTTGTTTGAAGGGAAGAGGTTTGCGGTGAGGACGCTGCCTCTGCCCGTGTGCTCTGGTGCCATCACCCAGGCGACAGCAGGACAGACCTTCGCCACTGGGCGCGTGCGGGGAACCAGTGGAGCGCGTTGGCCTTGAGCACACTGTGAGGGGCGATCGGTTGTGTCGGGTGTCGCACATCTGAGAGGCAAGTGGCCCGTGGGGGCACAGTGGAGCGGGGTGAGGTCAGGGAGGGCCTGCGGTGTGGACAGGTTGGGCCGTGTGGCTGGGGTGGTGCGTGGGAAGCGTTTGTCCTGTCGAGCGCGCACGTGCTACTCCTGGCACGCCTGCTTCTCGGAGCTGTTGAAGCGGGGGCCGTGTGACGCCCCAGGTTTCTCCTGGGGTGGGGGGAGCCGGGAGGATCACACAGGGCAGGGCTTTCCCGCCCTGTGTCAGCAGGTGCCCCGTCCACGGTCGTGGGTTTGAAAATCGGAGATGATGGGAGAGGGGAGGTCCTGAAGTTAACCTACCAGGAGAGCGTGACGTTTACAGCTTGCAGCAGGGGATGCTGGCCTTTGCTGAGCGCCCTGGCCTCTGGCATGTGCGCGGCGCTGCTCTTGGGGCAGAGAAGCGGAAGCAGAGCAGGGAGGTGTGAGCTCTGCATTGGCCCCAGAGGGTGTGCTGCTCGGGTGACTTACTGCTGGGGTTGGCCCGGCCATGGTGTCCCTTTCGTGGCAGAGGCTACGGCGGCCGGTGACGCGCTGGCTTCTGCTGACGGTGCCGCCCCTCCCAAGCACGCGCTCCGCTCACTGCGTTTATTTCTGTTTATTTTCTCAACAGAGCAGAAAACCCAAACTCCTGTTCTAAGCACGGGTCCCACCAGAACCCTCCCCACTGGGCTCAGGGCACACATCTCCTGGTGGTGTCGGCGTGAGGTGCTCCGGCCACGTCCAGACCCGGGGCGAGTCTCAAGGCCGCAGTAGAGCAGCCCCCTGGAGGGCCCGGGCCACGGAGCCCGTCCCGCGGCAGCTGCGATGCGTGCTCTCACGGGCAACACTGGCGCGCTGTGTGCTGGCCTCTCTCGGGCAGACCCGGCCTCAGAACTGGGGGTCCGGACACAGGCTGTGGTCGCAGGGAGGTACAGCTCTATCTCTAACGGAGGTTCTGGGTTGGCGTGGACTGGTGTGCTGGTGTGGCTGGTGTGGCCATCACTCCTTCAGCAGAAGGTGTCCGCAGGGTCCAGGCTACGCGGCGTCAGGCCTTCGTGTCCACACACAGTGCGCCCCCAAGGTGCAACTCTCACATCAGCACAGGCCCACCCCCCTCCACCGCCCCGTGGCACCGCCAGGAGCAGGACGGACCCACTGGTGCCACCGCACGCGAGCTCAGGGCACGCACAGAAGCTCATGGAGCAGCTCTCATGCTTGGTGATGCGAGGAAGCCCGCAAAGCCTTCAGTGCCCAGGAGCTCCTGGAGGGTGGGGGGGTGGGGGGGGATACCTCCTGGTCCCTAGAGGTGCCAGGCCAGTTCTTGCCACTGGTGGCGTGTGGGAGCTCAGGGGAGGGTGAGCTGCATGCTCTGGGCCCGGACAGCTCGGCGAAGGCGGGGTAGCCATGCGGCCTAGCAGCAGTGCTTCTGGAAAAGGAGCCGGCACACACACGGCTGTCCACACGGTGTCCACATAGAATCCGCAGCTTCCTAACCATCCTGGTGCCCGTTTCTGTGGGACAGACTTCTGTGCCTTGTAAGCACCTAAGTTTTTAAAACAGTTCTGGCTGCTGTCGGAGAGGTTGAGGTGGGGCCACGTCTCAATGGGCCAGGTGGCCGCTCACTGTCCCGGGGCGTCTCCAGGGGTGGCATGGCCAGGAGCAGCAGGCTCGGCTGATGTCTACGAGGGCTCCTTGTCGCAGCTTTCCTGGAAGAACATGGCAGCCCATTTTGAGTTCCTGGCAGAACAGGGCCCTTCCTGCCGCCCATGCCCCACTGTGCGAGACACCGAGGGGGTCCTGTGCGGGCTAAGCTGGAAGGGATCTGTGGGAAACGCTCAGCCTGTGTTGGCAACAAGGAGAGGTGCTGGGTGGCCACTGAAGCCAGGATGTTTGAAGGCCCGCAGTCGAGCTGTGGGGCTCATCCTCCAGTAACTCCCGGGCTTGGTGGCTGCGCAGACGGTGGCAGCAGCGACTCCGGAGTGGGGGACGCCTGTCCTGCCCCCCCCCCCCCCCGGTGCCGGGCTCCCTGCGGGCTCAGCAGGCACCCTGCTCGGCCAGTGTCCAGCCAGAGCCAGCAGCCCTGCCTGCACCCGTGCCCCCCAACTGGCGTCTCCTCGAGATGCCCCGCCCTGCCCCACCATGCCGACGCTCCCCAAGGATCTGCCTGGAGTTCAGAGCCGTGGGCTCCAGGAAGAACAGCTCGTGGGCCAAGCCCCAAGGCAACGGACGCTCTGCCAGCCCCTGCCCCTGTTGGCCTGGCCACATACCCACGCCTTCCTCCAGCTCCGCATCATGCGATCGTGCTCCCCGACCACAGCCCTCCAGGCAGCGAGCTCTCTGGTCCACTGCTCCTGGTGGGTCGCCTCTGCAAGACAAGGCGGGGGAGGGGGCCAGGTGTCAGCCTTGCAGGCCCTCATGGCCCCGGGGTTACTGAGGCCATTCCAAGAGCCAGGTTTTGGGTGAGGTGTCTGCCCCTCCAAGGCTGCCTTCCCCAGGGCACCAGCCCCAATAGCAGCTGTTCCCCACGGTCATGCTGGCCCCTTTCTCATTTCGCTTGAATTTTCTACCCAGGCAAGAGAGGGACTAGCTTCCTGCACCTTGGGGCTGGTCCTGCCTCCCCTGGGAGGCCTGTCACAAGTAAGGCCGGGGAGTCTGCACGGCTCACCAGGCTGGTATCACAGTATGCCCAGCTGCTGCCTGCTCCACGTGGCCTGTGTGGGAGCTTGATCCGAGGTTTTGGAAGGGAGTTACATGCGGGGCTGTCGGGGTGGCAGGAGCCCGACAGCCGTAGTTTCTCCGTCAAACTGTGTCCCTGATTCGGCCCATGGCTCAAGTTGCTAATTCTAGAAATGGGTGGCAGGGACCTGCACCTCGAGACACAAAGCAGAATGTGTTCCTCGAGCACAGCTGGGGCCTGGGCTCTCCAGGTGGCCGCGGGGTAGGGGACAGCACTCCAGAGGTGTCTTTGGGGGTCCTTACCCCAAGGGGCTCTGCAGGAACTTCCAGCTCCCATCCTGTGAGAAGCCCTGCGTTCTCTAGCCCTGCACAGCTTCAGGGGACACAGCGGGCTGGGCAGGCAAGCAGGTACGGGCTGTCCCAGCTGCGCTGGTGTCTCCGGCTGCCACGTGTGTGTGCGGGCTGCAGCGTGACTCGGGTGGAACCGCCTGCAATCTGTGTTGGGTCCCGCTGCTCACAGGCTGGTGAGCTGGGTGACCATGGGGTGGGGCGGAGGGGAGCAGGGTCACCGTGAGTGCTCTCCACCCTTTTTGCTGACAGTGCCTTTCTCGACTTCTGTGGGACCCCTCACGGTGTGTGAGTCATGTTTACGTGATGATTCCGATTGTCCTGATGGCAGCACGCAGGGCACTTTACAGAAACGGGAAGAACGGGTTCTGGGCAGGAGTGAATATTTGCAGTTTTCTCTTCCCCAAACTCACAGTAGAAGGACGGGGGCCTTTTCAGCATCTCTAAGCATAGATGTAAATTCTTGAGAATGGACTGAGAATAGGAGGGGAACCACAAAAACCTGGAAGTTGAAAGCAGAGGCACCGGTGGGGACGGAGCAGACCCAGGAAGGCTCAATTCTAGGCCGGCAGCGGGGAAACTGAGGTACACTCTCCCAGAGACGTTCGGGCACCGGGATAGTCTGTCACATGCATGTTGCCTCCAAGGCCGTTTAGGAGCGGAAGCGTGGCCCCCAGGGCCGCTCCCCACTCCACACCATATGCCATGTGGTCCAACATCTGGGAGGATAGTTCCAGAAAGAGTACAGGACATAAAGCGGAGCAGAGTGAATACATGTTGAGGAAAATCTCCCGGAGAGGAAGGGCAGGCTTTCCGGCAGCATGGGCCTGGCCAGGCCTGGAGACACCGAGGCATGAGTGTTCCTCCTGTGGATGGTGGTCCCAGAAGGCCACGGGCAGAGCACGCGGGGCCGGCAGCCGTGGGGCGAGCGTCCGCGTGGCAGGGGAGGGCTTTGAGGCCAGAACCGCACAGCCAGCCAGCTCCTCTCAGTGTCAAGACCGAGCAGGGGACCTTGGGTTCTCAGAACGTGGACCTCCCGGCCCCGCCAGACAGAAATCCGGGTGAGACGTGGCAGGCATGTGCGCGCGGGGGGGCGGTGTGGACGGGGCGGCAGTGCAGCGGGGGGGGGGGGGGGCCGCCCACTTACCATGTCTCCTGACGGTGACCCACGCTCTGGAGGTCTTGTTGCCCGTGGAGGAGAGGACGGAGCAGCGGTACTCGGCGCTCTCTCGGGTGGTGTCCTGCAGCCAGCTGAGCACGTGGGTCCTGCCGTCGAGCAGCGTGTGGGTCTGCGTGGGGACACATGTCTCCAGTTCACGGCCGTTCTTCTCCCAGACGAAGTGAACGTCTGCAGGACCTGGGGACACAGAGACCTCTCTGGACCTGGTCCTGCTGCCACCACCTGTGACCAAAGGCTCTGCCTCCGTGTGGTCACCTGCTCTCCTAGCATCTAATGGGAGGGGGTCCAGCCGACCTGGGGCGGGCGGGCCAGGGCGCCGAGCAGGGCTGAAGGCCCCTCTGTCCCTGCCGCCCCTTCCTCCCTGCTTGTGCCCAGCGTGGACAGCACCAGCGGCTGGGCTGGGAGCTATTTCTCAAAGCGGGATTCTACCTAGCTGCCCTCCAAGCTGGGAGGACGTAAGCTGCGGTGTCGGGGAGGATGGTTGTCAGAGGAAGGGTGACGTCTGTATGTGGCTGCAGTTCGCCGAGCAGGTAAAGAACCTGCAGCCAAAGGGCTAAGCCCAGGACCCAAAGCCGTGGCACCAGCTGGAAGGGAGAGTGGCAAGACAACTTCACGTGGATTCGTGTGTGTCCGGGGGGGCACCTTCCACCTTTGGTCCCCTCATCAGCGATGCACCGCGTTCAGGATCTTCAAAGAAGAGCCTTCCTCCCAAGGGAAAATCAGACTCTCAGACCAGATGGTCCCACGAATGAACCTGAGGCGGTGATCAGAACACGGACGGGGCCACCAGAGCTGTGTCTGTTAGTAAGAAGTTGGAGACGGGCGACCAGGGGTCTCACACGTGACGTGACGGCCACGGGCGGAACGGAATCCATGTGCCCCTCGGTCCTGAAAACCTTCCTAAGCCTAGCTTGTCACTCGTGAGTCACGTTTAAGAAGACAGTAACACGGGGCGCCTGGGTGGCTCAGTTGGTTAAGCGACTGCCTTCGGCTCAGGTCATGATCCTGGAGTCCCAGGATCGAGTCCCACATCGGGCTCCCTGCTCGGCGGGGAGTCTGCTTCTCCCTGTGACCCTCTTCCCTCTCGTGCTATCCCCCATTCCCCCTCTCTAAAAAAAAAATAAAATCTTTAAAAAAAAAAAAAAAAAAAGTAACACGGGGAAATGTCACCGTGTCAGAGGAGGAGATCTCGAAGTATAGGTGTGTGCACGCATAGACACGTGCGTGTCAACGCCCGGTGGAAAGGCCCGCGGGCGGCCGCCGCGCTGGTGGGGGCTCCCTGCAGACGGCTGACTTCCGGGATGCTTCCATCCTGCTCTTTATACCTGCCTGGAGTCCCAGATCCACTACAGCAGATACGGCTTTTGCAGTGAAAACGAGGCATTCTCAGGAAGGAAACGTGCCGTAGGCTGTCAGTCGAGGAAATTCTGGAAGGCTTTGCTCAACACCGTGGCCGTGCCGGCCACGGGGACGCAGTATCTTGTTTTCCGTGTGGGGTTTCTGGGTTTTTATTGTGTTGCTATAGTTTGTTTTGCCCAGAGCGTTTTGTCGCCCGCCCATCGGTAATTCTGTACGTGTGTCACATGTCCGTATGTGCGTTTGCCTGACTGCTGCCCGTCAGCCGGCACAGCCCCCTCCTGTGACTGCTGGGCGTGCCTCATGACAGCCCGGGCCGCGCGGCCGCTCCCTGACAGCCAGCCGGTGGCCGAGTCCAGTTTAGAGGGGATCCCGTGAGGCTGTGAACAGACACTGAAGCCTGTTCCAAAGAGCCCGGGCTCCCCCTCACCACCCCCGCCCCGACTGCCCCGGGGTGGTGTGCATGGAGACCCACCCAGGACTGCAGCCAGCGAGGTGGGTCACAGGAGCTTCTGGAAGGTTCTCATGGCCAGCCCTGGGACAAAGGACTGGGGTGGCTTGAGCTGGCAGCGCATCATCACCCAGAGCCACATGGCTGGGACCCAAAGGAGAATGCTCGGCTGACCACACGGGGGGGGGGCACGGGCTGAATGCAAACTTTGTGCCCCTCGGTCCTGAAAAGCTTCACCGCTCAATCTTTAAGTGTGTGTTTAGCCACAGTAAAGCTCTAAAAATATTAGAGAGGTACTTACATTCTACTTACTCTCTTTTAAAGCTATCCAGCTCCTTCTGAATGCAGAGAACAAGGAGGCAAAGTGACAGTTACAACCCGTCAGCAGGGTCCGCACCCACCGACCCCGGGGGCCTTGTGCAACCCCACAGGGCCAGGCCCTCAGGCCCCGGGCGTGTAGCACCTCTTCTGGGCCCTGGAAAGGCTCCCCTGGCCTTGGGTTCCAGCACCTACCATGGGGTCAACGAGGTGCAGGGGCCAGCACCCTGCTCCCACACCACCCCGCGCCCCCTAAGGGGATGACTCGCAGGTGCAGAGCTGATTCTACTTTGTGACAAAAGCAGAGCCCCTCAGAGCAGGGCCTCTCCCCAGGGGAGGACATCTGATTCTGGAAGTGGGGTCCTGAGAGCCCCAAGTTGGAGGGGAGTGTGATGGGTCCACTCCAAGTCCTCAGGCCACATCTGTGACCGGTGTCCCCACTTGGCAGGCCATCCTCCGGGCGTCCCCATGCATGTGGTCTACTCTGACCCTGGGGCCAGCCCCTCTCCGTGCTCACACCCGCGGCCTTCCACCAGGCCCCGGCCACACCTGGGCGGGGGCAAGGGGGGGGGTGCTGCTCACACCACAGCCCTGGGGCCGGACAGTGTCCAGCACAGAAACGGGACCTGGCAGGGGTGTCGGGTCTCCAGCACCCCGATTTCATCGGCCTCACCCCTCAGAGTGTCCTAGCTTGTCATGAAACAGCCAGTACCCCGTGGTTGGCTGAAGAGTGACCCCCAGAATCCCAGGTCCTAGTCTCTGGGGGCACATGTGGCTAAATGCGCTTTCCAAACACCGCAGGGGGGGGGGGGGGGGGGGGGGGGGGGGGTCACTGGCCCAGCGCGAAGCCTCGCAGGGTGCCAGGTGCAGGGAACTGTCCTGCACACAAGGACCACTCTGTAAAGGCACGTGGATGATCGCAATGGAAAAGAGACCCAGGTTCTGGCAAAAACCGCTAAGGATCGAGACCCCAGCAAGGTGACAGATCAGCCTTGCCTGCCTATGGAGGGGTCCCAGCCCTTCTGGGAAATGCCCAGCTCACGAGTCAGCTACCCCCACAGCCCAGCCTCGGCCTTCCTGGAGCCCCCGCCCCAAAACACATGCCAGCACCAACGGCTGCTGTGGGCACTCACGAGATATTTCGGCTGCGCACCTCCTGCGGCCCCCGCGGTTCCCAGGGGCTTCAAGGGCTCTGATGTCCAACATCGTGGTTAAAACAAAAGGCCATCACAACCCCCAATAGCCAAGCATCACCTAAAGTACAGCGGATCTGTTCTTAGCTTTAAAGATGAGGCCTAAATCGACTGGGAGCATGGTCCCGTCAGGGCTGTGGGGGCCCGTGGGGGCAGACGGTGTGGACTGGGCCCGCTCTGGGCAAACGCAAGGCCCTCCCCCTCGGATGGAACAGGACGTGCGGGCCCCCTGGGAAAGGCTGGTCCTTCCCGGGCCACCTCACTGCCTCAGGTGGGGCCGCGTGGAACAGTAGAAGGTTCTAGATGGGCCAGGCTCCTGAAAAGCAAGGAGCATGGGGGAAGGGGGGCGGGGGCCTTGGTCCCTCTGCTCAGTCCACCCTGAGTACCGCCGCTCCACGCTGTGAGACCGCCAGCTACGGTCCCCATCCTTGGCCCCCAGTCCCGTTAGGTCCCACCTCGGAGGCACTGGCTGGAGGCGGAAAGTTAGGAGGAGGGGACGCCCCTCCGGCTCCTAGACCTTGGCAGTGGCGCGGCAGGGGGGTGTCCCGCTTCTGCCCTGCGGCCGGCGGTGCTTCCTGCCAGCGCCATAGGCGGGAACTGCACCCCTCCCCGGCTGCCCGCAGCTCTGCCACTAACGGCCCGCGCTGGGGCCCCGTTGAAGCCTGGTGGTCCCGCTCTGGCCGACAGCGGTCTGGGTCCCCCCAGTCACAGGGACAGCGCCCTTGCGTGTACACCAGCTAACGGGTGCCTCCCCAAAAAGCCACATTTAAAAGCATTTGGCTCCCAGACACACGGTCCGCCTGCACCCGCAGTGCCGGGTTGTGTGACCACCGCTCTCCCAGCAACAGGGACGACATCCGGCCCAGGAGCCACACGGGGGTCCCAGCACAGACCAAGGCTGGGCACGGAGCAGGTGACCCGGGGCAACACGGACCTGCCCCCAAGGTCTGTCCCCACGGTGTCCCACTCCCAGGCCACTTCCCCTGCGGCACACGCCGCTGGTCCACAGCCCCCACGGGGCGCGCCACGGCTCCCAGAGCCAGCTCCACACCTGGAGCAGCTTCTCGACAGGTTAAAGTCTCAGAAAGAAACCACCTGTGTGCTTCTTCCTCCCGAGCTTTATTCCTCCCCTCGGGGCACAGAGGTGGGGGCCCGGGCAGCAGCTGGGCCACCGCATAGCGGAGACCACGGCCGTGCGGCCCGGCCTGACGTCTCCCGGGCCACCGGGCTCTCAAGCTGTCCCGCGTTTCAACGCCACCACAGGAGTCGTGGGAACAACACCCCTGCTGGAGGCTCTGGAGCTAATTTCTCAGTTGCCACAGAGATGGACCCCCGAATTGTCAGCAGACACACAAATCAGTCCTTACAAACGCCAACTGGCCGACTGAGGCCTTGGGGCCAAGCCCAGCTCATCTGCGGGTGGCCTGGAGGCTCTGGACAGACAGCCGAGTATTCGCCACAGAACTTGTGGCCGTGAGACGCCCACAGCAGCGGACACTGGCCCTTCCCGTCCGCAGGAGCAGCTCCGGGCCGACAGTGCCTGCAGGCTGCAGCAAAGCCCCCCCGGCGCTGTGCTTCCCCCCCCCCCCCGCCCCCCGGACAGGTGCCCCGCTCACCTGTGGCCTGGCAGAAGAGGTGGAAGGTCCCCAGGGCGTGCACGTGCTGGGCCTGGTCGCTGAGGAGGGGCGGCAGCAAGGCAGTGGGCAGGCTGCTGTCCGACCCCGAGGCCGAGGCCGGCCAGGGGCTTCGGGGAGAGGAAGCGGAGCCGGGGCCCTGACAGGACAGGGAGGACCCCGGAGGAAGGAAGGGCACAGGTGAGGCTGCGAGACAGAAGACAGAAAAGAAAGAGGCCACTGAGGCAGGCGTGCTCCGGTCCCACCGCGCGCCAGAGGAAGGAAGCAAAGCGAGGAGGAGAGAGGGACCCGGGCTGTCCCGACACCCGCTCCCCGGTCAGCGCCCCCAGGAGGGAGGGAGGCAGGCCTCCTGGCCGCGGCAAATCACGTGCCCACGTCAAGGATATAAGCTGCTCATTTATTCGGTTATTTTTCAAATGTATACAATTCAAAGTAGAAAAATAAAAACAAAGCAAATCTTATAAAACACAAACGTTTACACCAAAACGGTCGAGTCCTATCATGCTGAAGAGGATGCTGTCCACACAGGGACACAGAAATCCAGTTTATTGCTCTTTGCCACAGAAAGAGAGCCTCCTCTTGCAGGTGTGGGGGAAGCAGCAGGTTGAGTGTGAAGTCACCGCGGTCAAACCGCCTCGCCTGTTCACACCTTGAGAGACGGCACCAGGCCACGCTGGTCCACCCCGTGGCTCCGTGGGGTGCTGACACACAGGCTTGTCTGGCCACCACTGCCCAGCTTGCTTGTAGGTGTGGACAGCCCTGTGCAGCTGTCCGTCCGTCTGCATGGGAGGTTTTGAGCAGTGGCTGTGGGCGTCTGATCGTGAGACATGCAACCCCTCAGCTCTGGGCCTGGTGGCGCCACTGACCCTGGAAACCCTGCCTGGCTCATGGGATAGCCCCCCACTGTCCTCTCTTCTTCGAAAGAGTTAAAACAGAAGGAAAAAAAAAGTATAGAAAGAAAATCTCTCTAAAAATGATGCTTCCCTCAAGGAATAAAATTAAAAAAAAAAAAAAGTGTGCTCAAAAGATGGTTTTGTCTGTTTCTAAAAGCAGAAAGAACGCATTTAGCCAAAGTAAGTTTATCCCTGAGAATCGTAAGCAACGTAAGCTCTATCCTATCCTCACATAACAACAGAATCCGGAAGATGTACATCTTCTAAATATTAAAACATCTGCTTTCGTAATTTAAAAAATAAATGACCTAACACAAGAAAAGTAAAGCCCTACAAAATAATCCCGTGGAAGAAAAGGTTCGTGCCAATCTGGACAACAGGCGCTAAGTTACCAATCTGATAAACAAAAATGCCATTTCCAATCTGGAATGAAATGCTCTTTCAGGGGCCGCTGTTCTGAGGAGGGGGCATTCCAGGCGCGGGGGTCCGCGGGCCGCCGCAACGGGGCTCAGGGAGCCGGCACCACCACCCGTGGGCCCGTCCCAGGCCGCGGCCCGCTGCGGGAGGCCGGGACGTGCTGCTCGCCGCTTTCCGAAAGGACAAAGAGAAACCAAATCACAAGCTCGACCCGAGAGAAAAGACACAGAAGACAGGTGCACAGACATGGGCTCCCCACGTGGCCCCAGGCCGGGTGACCGGTGGTGAACGGAGCCCTGCGCGCGGGCGCCTCAGTCCGCGTCCGCGTCCGAGTCGGCGTACTTGAGCTCGCACTTGACGTCGAAGGGCCTGTCCCGGGCCGGGAGGTCATCGAGCCGCTGTGAGTCCTCCCTGTCGGTGGGCACCCTGCTGGCCATGGTGTCCTGCTCCGTCTCGTAGCCGGTGTCCAGGGCCGGCCTGGGCTGCCCCCCGTTCTGCTGGGAGAAGCTGCCCTGCTCCACCAGCGTCTCCTTCACGCTCTGCTCGAACTCGGAGAAGTCGGCCGTGGGCTGCTTCTTCCCCAGCAGCACCGCCGAGCGGAACTTCAGACACTGGCCAGGCAGGTAGCCCTTGTAGCAGTTGTAGGAAACGAGGCAGAGGCAGAGCATGAAGAAGAGCAGGAACAGGAACATGAGCAGGCGGTTGTCACTGGACTTGAGATACATGGTCTTCTCCGAGTGCACCTGGGGGACCGTGTTGATGACGGTCTTGGGCCTGCAGGACACGCCGGTGGGCGCGGGGCTGGGCGGCGGCGGGGCCGGGGTCTGGGCCGGGGGGCCTGGGGTGGGCTCCGTCGGCACTCTGAGGAGGGTCCTGTCTCCTTCGGCCCGGGCGGCTGGCCGCGTGGAGGCCGCCGGGGTCCTCGGGAGCACTCGGACCTCCAGAACGTGCTTGGCCACCACCTGCAGGGCCGTCCTGTTCCCGACCCTCTCCTCCGACAGGCACTGGTACACCCCACTGTCTCCCTCCGACAGGCTGGAGATGAGCAAGTTCTTCCTGCCCACCAGCCTGTACTTGGGGCCCTCGGGCTCGAGCTCGTTGTTCTGGAACGTCCACACCACCCGGGCCAGGTTGGACTTTTGGGAGCATTTCAGTTCTGCCGTGCCGCCATGCTTGAAAAAATGCTGCCGGAAACTTTTAGTTTCATCTGGAACATCAAAATAAACGTGCACAGTGTCAACAACCTGGCTCGCTACTTCACGTCTTTTATAAAATAGGTCAACACGCACAAGAGAACACAAGAGTTTCACCCACTGGAGCAACACGGAATCTTCCAGAACAACTAAGGAGAATAAAGACATGCGTGACAGAGCAGCAAAGATGAGCCCCGGATGGCAGCCCAGTGGGACAAGGAACTCGGAGGCAACCGAACAGCAGAGATGGCGTCTGGCGCCCTGGCTCCCCGGGAGTCGCGTGCCATGTGCCTCTGCTGGTGGCTCTGGGGCTCGCGGCCTCTCGGTGCGCCCGGCGCCCCCTCCTGAGGCTGCCCCAGCCGTCGGGTCAGGGACGGGAGCGCGGCTGCCTTCGAGGGGGCCGAGGGCTGTGCTGGACCCCCGCGGCCAGCAGTGGCCTCCCGGAGGGGACAAGGACTCCCCGCCCCTCCCTCACCCTCCCAGGACGTTCGGGGTCATCTAAGTGGCCCCAAGCTAAAGGGCAGAGAGAAGCGTCTCGAGAGCAGATGTCACAGGTTGGATGCCGAGTGCCTCCCAACACACACACACACACACACACACACACACACTACGTGGCTTCAAACACCCTTTTCTGCAAATCAAAGGGATGGCGGGGTCGGCCTCCGTATCCTCACGGATACTTGCCCTCTGGTCTGAGTACAGAAAGACAAAATGTACGAGATGCCACGCCACGCCAGTACAGCACCATGACAACGGTCACGAGACCCGGCGCCGGGGAGGAGCGCGGCGAGGAGCCACTTACCTGGGCAGGCGGATGTGTCGCCGCTCATGCGCTGAATCAGATCCCTGCAAGATAAGCAGGCACGGTCACGGTCACGTACGCGCACGCACCTTCCCCACAGGCGGGGCGGGCGGGCTGGCATGCCGCGTCCCCCGGGTACCTGCTGGGGCCGTCTGTCGGCTGCAGGGCCACACAGGCCTCGGTGGCCCGGTTCCAGGCGCAGTAGGGGTCTCGGGCCAGCACGCAGTCCTTGCAGGTGGCATGCTTCTCGCAGAAGGCCACAGGGGCCTGCACCACGCCCGAGCTGGAGCCCGCATAGACAAATCTTCTGCCCTGCGGGGGTGAAACACGGGGAGCAGGCGGGTGAGGGGGCAGCCGGGTGCACATGGTGCCAGGTGCGTCTCCAGCTCGCGGACGGTGCCGAGCATGTTCCCTCATTTTCTCATCTAGGAGCTTCCAGCGCTACGAGCACGCAGGTGCTGCGTGGTCTCCCAGCCAAGTCCGCGCACTGACTCAGCACTCGGGGCCTCAGTCCACTGCCCCCCTCCCTCCCGACCAGGCGCCTGTGTGGATGCGTGTCTCCCGCCGAGTAGACAGAGCCCCTCCAGCTGGACACTCCCGGCCCCACCACAGGTCAGAGGCCAAAGGGTACAACTTAGAGCCCAATCTCAGGCCTGTCCGGCGTGAGCAGCCATGAATGGACAGCCCCAGTGGGTCCAAGTCCAGCGGGACTGGGAAAGGGGGTGCCAGCGAGCGGCGGGGGAGCGTGCAGGACTCCAGCATGTGGGATAAAGGACGTGCCAGGCACTGTCACGTCCAGGTTTGCGAGGAACACGTGGCCAGGGAGGCTGCCAGCCGGCACATCAGCGAGCCCAGCTCACAGGGCGGCTAACCGCTCTCCTGGACGCAGCGGGGACGGGGCTCCCACGCGGGGACACCACCCGACGTGTAGCCACGGCCACAGGATTGCAATTCACCTGAGTCTATGCCCTCCTCCGCCCACAAGCCTGTCTCCCCCCGCTCTTCTGGTTAACCCTGAGATTTGCGAGCCTAACAGAATTCAGTGTTTCTGACCCAGATGGGGTGCAGTCTTCCCCCTGGGGGGACAGAGTGGCTGGCGCTCTGAGTCCCTGGGGCCAGCCTCGGTCTCCTGGCCTGTGACCCCTACCCCTCCCCGCACCCTGCATGAGCACAGCCGAGAGAAAGGAAGCCCCCTCTGCAACAGACTGTCCTAACAAGCGGCAGAGAGGCAGGCCCAGGGCCAGTGCCTCCGTCGGCCCGCACCGGGCAGATGAGGCCACGCACCTACCAGAAGAACCAAGGAGGCCACCCCAGATCACAGTCCAGGCTTCACGTGGCTCAAAGAGGCGAGGGTTTCTGGGAGGGCCGAGCGAGTGACTTCGAGGGACCCTAGAGGGTGCAGACACCTGATCCGTGCATGTGACTGTGCGCAGGGGGCCGGCTCCCATCTCCGCCTACAACCCCTCCCCAGGACTTGGCTCCCATGAAGCCGAGCCACAGAGTAACGGATACTGATGGAAGGGGACAGAAAAACACCTGCGAGGGGGTGGCTGTGACTGCTGGCGGGTGCACGCGTCTGGGGGCCAGAGGAACAGACACACAGCAGCCTCGAGGTCCCCCCCAAACAAGCGTTAGCCACCGTGGGCCAAGCACACGCCTGCGCGCCCCGGCCCAGCCTGCATGGGCCCCTGCTGTTGCGCACGTCCCCAAACCCTCAGCCCCTCCAAGCATAAGGAGACCAGGGCGTTCCATACAACACCGACCAGTTCTCTACAAAGCCACCAAAACAAAGGTAGATGGGGACTATCCCAGGCCACAGGGGCTGAGGAGTGAGCCGCCCCAGGCCACGTGAGGCTCTGGAAGTGGAGTGGACGTTTGTGAGGATGGAGGGGCACCTGACGTCTGGGGGCTCCTCCACGCCGAGGGAAGGCCCGGGGTCCCTGCCCCTCATCCTAATGCCTCTGTGGACCTCACACTATTTTAAAATGAGAGGTGCTTGAAAAGACACAGAAAGAAAAAAACCACCTGACCAGGTGTGAGGTTTGGGGAGCGCGTGTGTGCCCTGGCCCTCTCCCGCCCGGCCCCTCACAGGTCCCCACGCCCCTGGGAGCCCCAGGCTCACACTGTCCCAGCTAGGTTTCTGCACGGCCACGTCTGACCTGTGCGGAGTCTGGAGCTGAAGGAGTTGTGCAAACGACGTGCCCGCCAACACGCAGATGGAGCCCGCGGCCTGGGCTCGGGGGAGACCAGACAGAGCATGTCTGCCGCGTGTTTCCACATGAACCGAAAGCAGGACTCGGATGTCTGCACACCACGTACACGGCGGCCTGGGATGCAGGCAGCCCACGTGCCCGCTCACAGATGGCGGGCAAGCAGAACGTGGGTGTGCCAACCGTGGAGCATTCCTCCCAGAAGAGAAAGGATATCCTGTCACATGCTACATAGGTCACCCTCAAGGACCTGTGCTCGGTGAGATAAAC